TTGTACATTTGGGCTGTATACTCTTTATATAATTCAAAAAATGTACAGACAATACACAGCTAATCCAGCCGCCACTGGGAATTATTGTTTGAACAAGTGAATATCAAAAGTTACATACTTTAAAGTGCTCATGACAGGTTTCACTATTTTACTAAAACACCGTTAACACAATTCTATTCAAGGTTTTGTGAAGTAATTAACATTTTAATACAACTCTATTTTGAAACAAATATGAACTGTGGAATACACTGCTCTGAACGGGGAGCTATCGGAAGTCACAGTGCTGTCTGCCTGAGGCTAATTTGAGCAGACAAGCACACTTCTTAACACCTAATTAATGCTTTTAAAGCGATTAACCCTGGTTCCTTAGCCACAAACAGAATGCCCTCAAAAGCCCTGAATCCCCCTGAAGAACTAGCAACAAAATCTGTCATTTTTAAAATATAACAAAAATGTAACCACTTGACAAATTTGAAGCCTGTATTTTGCACTGAAATAAAGCCACACACTGGTTTGTTGATCTGTCATCACTATCAAAACAAAACTAAAATACCAGGGTGCTACAAATAATTGAAGGCCTTTGCAAATAAAAACAACCTTTTTATATATATTTTTTTTTTCTAAATTTGTTATGATCCCTATTACTATCTAATTAAAAAGCCAAAGATAAAAAAAAAAATATAATAACCATTAAAAATTATGGACATGTGTTACATGTCTTAATTGTTGTTAATATTTTAACATTTAAATTTTTCTAGACATATTTCATAGAATTGAAGAGTGTATCTATAACTTTTTTTGACAAAGCAATAAAGTTGTACCACTTTAAAGCATTGTTTCTTCTGCTGATCCTTTCATGGTGCAAACATGACTTAGTGCTGTTAATGAGCAGCTCTTTACAAAAGGCTGTATAAGCTGTGACCGGACACACTGGCCTCATGGAGCTGCGTGTGTTTTTGGGCCAATGGAAAGATGCCAGGCTGTTAGGCAGATGAGACTCCACTCCATCAGGTCTAAGCAGGTCTGAGCGGCAGTGTGAGGGCTATGAGGGCTGTGAGGGGTGTGAGTGGGACACAAGGACAGAGCTCGAATGGAACCCCAAAGCTCAACAGCCTGAGTTTATTTTAGGAGAAAGTGGTATTGTTTTGTTTATCCTTTCTTTCTTCAACTGTTAGATACTGAAGGAAAAATAAGCAAAATAACAACACTCACTCTTGAAGATACATCAGGATGTTGAATTGAAAAATAAACTGACCATAAAAATATGTTAGCCATAATTAATTATTTTGGTTACATTAATGTACTTTTATTTGTACTTTTTCAGAATCATCCCTCACATTGAAGACAATGGATAGCATAATTGACTACAGATGCATTCAGCATTAGTAGTGAATTAGACACATTATGTTGTTTTGCTTGGTCAAGCGTGATCCTCATTGGGGCCCAGGCTCTAGTTAACAGGCTGACTAGTGGGATGTGGTCCTTGGTGCAAATAATAAGGTAAAGGAGCGGAAATAATTGGATTTGATAAAGAACACGTTTCTATGGGATACCAATTTGCCCTTGACATAATTGAGGGTCAGGTCTCTAACTGGCTGCTGTTGCAATTATTTCTGTATAGCGCCTTTTCAAGTCCATCCTATTAAAGAAAAAAAAAAACACTTACAGAGAAAAGAAAATCTAATACATATATCTGTTGTGGACCTTCTAATAATAGTATATTTTGAGTTTAATTTTGCTAGCAATATTTCTACACCCAGAAGTAAAGTAGAAAAGTAAAAAAAAGTAGACACTGACCACATGCTTAAAATAGATCATATTTATTAAAATCAACTGAAGTTTTGAAAAACTATATATATATATATATATATATATATATATATATATATATATATATATATATATATATATATATATATATATATATATATATATATATATATATATATATATGTTTATTTGATATCACAGAGTAATGCAACTCCCCCGCAGTATCCAGTGGTCCGGTGACTGGACCGTGGGCAACAACACCACAGCAGTGATGTAATTCAAGTTTCAAGTGACAGGTCAAAGATTTTGAGAAACTGTCCGAGTGAGGCCAGGTACATGACATTGACCATGCTCATCTCAGTGATAAGGAAGCAGAGAATGCTCCCGCGAGAAGCCACTGGTCGATATTCAGCTTGAGCTAAATTGATCTTCATCTCTGCATCTGCTGCCACACTGAGCTTTGTGCTAATTTCAGCTGCAGTTTGCTTTGTGGTGCTTAGCATACCAATCGTGGAGTCATCATCAACCAAAGAACCTTAAATAATAGAGTTGAATAGTCAGGAATAATAAATATAATAAGAGAGATTGAATAAGAGATAAGATTTTACCTTTAGTGCTACTGAGTTTGTACAGCAAATTGTCTTCTAACTCTTGCATCTTTCTCTTGTTTGCAGTTACATCTTCAATCAGCTCTAACCTCTCTGCTTCTAATTCCTATCATTAAACAAATAAAAATAATAATTAGCAATATGAAACATGTCAAGTATAGTATATATTTTTACAGCAAACTCACATGTTTCTCTTGGAGAATGACGCGACCAAGGAGCTGGTTTTCCAGACCTTTCATATTGACAGTGAAATCAATGATAGAAGTCTTTGAGCTCACTTCTGGTCTGCATGATGGATTTGGCAGTTTGGTCGTAATATAAAGCCGAAATCCTTCCAGAACATTAATTTCTTTGTCTCCTACTTTAACCTGTAAATGACAGTGAGAAATATTGACAACATTTTTATAAATGTCACAGAGGTACCCTAAAAGTAGCTAAACTTGAAGATTACAATCTGTATCATATACCTTGTAACTTGTACCAGATTTTATGAAGTTTTTCTCAAGAACATTGTCAAAGGCAGGGTCAAGCTCCTCTTTTACATCTTCAATAAGCATGGGGCATCCCAAGGACAAACAGTCCTCCAAACGGCTCCGGAAATATTTGTGATTAAGTGATGTCACCTAAAAACAGCATAATAATTATAGACCATGAAGTCTGGAGCTGCTATAATAAAGCTACTAGGAAATCGACAAGAAAAGGGAGCCATACTTGAAGTGAATTGGCCAGTTCCTTTTTCTTAATCCAGGCTTTTCCTTGTGTCTGAGGATCTATCAGCAGGGGGTATCTTGTTGCCTTTGTAACAATGATGCCATTTTGCACTGATAAATCATCTCTTGGGAGGCCCTGGAGATTCCACTCACTTACCTTGAGCAGATTTAAAAAGTTATAACAGATGTATTAGCCCAAGCACTATGAAAAGGTGGTTCAACAAATAACAATAGGATTATGATCTTACGGTAGGAGGGTCAACCAAGGCAGTAATAAGGTTAAGTTTTTCTGTGAAAGGGATTTTATTCTTCTTGAGCTCAGCCTCCCAGATTTCTTTTATTAACATGTCTCGGAAACTTTGGTTAAACGGTCCACAGTATGAGAGAAAACCTGTGAGCTGAAGCACATCACCCAGAAGTCTGCAAAGAAATAAATATGTAAAATAAAGGTAATTCAGAAATCTCAGAAAATAATGAATAGCGGTTCACATTATACCTGTTGGTCTGTGATTTAAACTCTTTGCTCTGTTCTATCCATCGAATCTTCTCTCCACTCAAACTATCAATAAGAGCAGATGCAGCCTGCATTTTATTCTTGCACGTTTCTGCATCATCCCGTAAATCCTAAAATACAGACAATTTAGAATGTAATTCAAATATATAAAAGTAACTCTCCTGTACAAACCTGTTTCTCCTTCATAGCAGCGTCACATTTGGCTTTCACAACATCAAATTCTGCCTGCTTCTCTGCTAGCTGAGCTTCGGCTGAGTTTAACTCATTCATAGCCAGTCTATGCCGGCTTTCCTGTACAGCTAGGTTTGCCTAAAAACAAATGATATGACACCACTCAGAGACCTTCTACATAATTGAATAATTGAATGATGGTAAAGGAAACCATACACCACAGCAATTTTTTTGTCCAGGCAAGACCTGCTACATTACCACAAACTTTCTTTGCGTTCTCCATTGTATAGTCCTCCATGTCAAAATATGGCTGAAGCAGCTCCACAGTTTCTTCATTAATTTTGTCTTTCTGAAACTGTTGGAGATTTTGCATGAATCCAGCTCCACTTATCAGCTGAAACAAAGTTTGGGCTAACTGAATTCACATTGTCTTTTGATGGTTAGATTACTCTTAATAAAAGTAAACATTTTTACTTTTAGTGCTTCTGACCACGATGGCTTGAGACAATGCCATGCTGGATCAATAGATACTGTGTCCACTTTCTTTTGAAATAAAAGCAGACAGCAGTCCATAATCCTCATAATCAGATGTGGGGGTTTAGCCAGCCTTTTCACAGTAGCTATGTCGGCCATTTTAATGGTCTGAAAATTATACATATAAACATTAGTGCATAAAATTATTAAAAATGTGGCTTGTGAAATATAATTTTACATTCAGTGCAGCTTTGGCCTCCTCTAATGCAGGTTTTGCAGCCTCAAGTTTCTCCTCAGCAATGGCCTTCTCCTTACCAATTTCTTCAACAATTTTCTGAGCTCGAGCTTTGACAATTTGGACCTCATTTTTTATGACAGTAGCAGCCTGTGCACTAATGTCACTGCTGCAAAAACCTGAAGAAAAGTCATACAGTCATATTCACTCATCATATTTACATACATTTACATACATATCAAAGCATTACATTCAATTCACACTAGAGCCCGACCGATATGGATTTTGCTGTGGCCGATATGAAACCAATATAATGGAAGTTGGAGCTGAAGATAGCCGATATAATCACCGATATATTTAGTGATGTAAAAATTCACTGTAAATGTTGAATTGTTTAAA